CTGGGCTCCCAATTCCCTGCAATACCTCCCGCTGGGGAATGGAGACTGGGCTCCCAATTCCCTGCAGTACCTGCCACTGGAGTTCCTCCCAATATGCCAGCTGACCTTCCCTTTCTGCCCTGCATTGCAGATTCTTTAACACTAAGTTCCTTATAAGCTGCACCGATTTCTCCGGTGGATTGGGTCCATAGTACTTCAGCCGCAATCCCATCATATTGTCAAACTCTTTCATAGAGTAGCTGTACGCCACTGCTGGTTCCATCCTGGTGCTGTCAGGGTCGCTGTACTGGGACATGCGTTGCCCTCAAATTGTAAATCCACGGAATGGTGTCGCCTGTAGCTGTCCTGTAGTCTGTAGGAACGATCCCACTTCCACCAATTGTAACGGACCGTTTTGCACACAAGGGGTAAAAACCGTTTAGGCGATCGGCCCCCTTTCCAGAGATGCAGGCACAGCTACTGCAGAACACCAAACTCATGAACCGCCAATAAGTGAATGCTCCAAACTCCTGAACGGCATCCAATACAGCACTCCAAACACACGAACTGGAACCATACGAATAGCTGCTAGTAGACGAATAGGAAAAGCATCCAAGCGGCTTACACTCCTAGCAATCAGTCTCTATCAGCATACAGTAAATCCCCCCAAAGACGAGACAAGGCTCCGTGTTGAGGGTCAAGCAGTGGTCTGTTTAATGAGGGCTACCTGCCCAGTATTTATGCATGTCTCCCACCTGGTGGACACTCCCCTAGGGGACCAAATGGGAGACTGTGACAAGGGACAGAGAAGCAGACAAATAGGACACACAGTCACAGTATATTCCCACAATGCATCCTGGCTTCCTCCCCTCTGCCCTGGGAGATAATTGAGAAGTAATTCAATTATCTCCCAAGACAAAGGCAAATCTCCATTATGCACATGGGGATACTAAAACAAGCATTACTGTTAAAATACACCAGGTACGACACATTACATTAAAACTATACATTTAACATATGCCCAGATAGCTCAGGTCTGAGCGCAGATTATTAAGCGAATGGCGCTCAGACCACACGAATACAGTTTAATCGCCATGGAGCCAAAGTCTTTACAGTCAGTTTCAAGCGAATGGGCTCCATAGGATTCCTATCTGGGGTACAACATAGACAAGTAAAACTACCGAACACCGGCCGTTCGTGTACTCCCACCGAACAAGAAGGGAGATCGGCGGCTTCAGCTGTGTTTGCGCAAAACTGTATCCGATTTTAGTTCCATGAATTAAGTGTCAAACACCGCTGTGCATTCGTTTGTTTAAAATGGCCGCGACCTCGTGTTCGGGATACGAATGGCGGCCACCCAGCATTCGTCAATTAAGCTGCGGTTAACCGCAGCTTCAGGAAGGTTAATTGCCGGCACACTCCACCTCCCAGGTGGTCTATTCATTCGTGCGGTTGTTCGGTAGATTGAATCTACCGAACAACCGGCAGAAAAGCACGAATACAGCTTTTCTGCAGGCGAAACAAAGTCTTTTAACATGGGGGCCATAGTCCAAAGGCAGCAGGCGAGCAACCAGGCTTCTCCAATGCAATGTGGCGAGATTGCTCTTGTCACATAAAGCTTTGATAAAGACCATAACATGTCGAAACGTTGCAATAATTCTGCCTGGAAGCAATCGCAGCGAGTGCCTGAGATTTTCCTATTCATAAATATTTCTTGGGTTTTGCTGACCCATGCTCAATAGCACCCTGGATTGAAACATTGTGGCCATGTGCGACCCTACTCTTCTTTTTCCGATACACCGGTCATGGACCTGAGAGCCAATGTATGTATGTTTTTGCCGTAGTCTACTCTCAGGTCCAGTGGGGAATGCCCCTGGAATCCCCTTGCATGAGAACCTGTATACAAGGTTAGTCGTGGCTGCCATTTAACAGTTCCTCTTAACCCTCAACATAGAGCCTCGTCTCATGTGTGGAGGGAACAGCTGTATTCACTCTGGGGATTGCTATACACATTGTTACAAACTACACTCCGCCACTGGCTTTTGGAGAGGCCTGCTTGCCAGCCTCTTGTCCTGTGACTCTGGCCCCTGGGGTGTATTGCCATTTAAGCACTCTATTAGGGCTTATTGGATTTTAAAACACTGTGTCTGGCCCTTTAATTCCTATGGGAAAGGATCTGCACTTTTGAACTGGCACTTCGGATACAACCGAAGTGCCGAAGTAGTAATTTTAATTCAGTCGAATGCGTTCAACGGTGTTTGGTCGTTGAGCTCATGGAACTCAAATCGGATATGCAACAGCACGAACACCGCTGAACTTTACCTTCTCCAGACGTCGACACTTCGACTGTAGTCGAACACCGTTCGACAATTCGAACAGCACTTTAACATTGACGGTTTGCACGAACAGTTGCCGTTCGTTATTATTATGTTATTATTTATATAGCGCCAACAAAACTTGAAAAAAACTGGGAAAACTTGTATAAAAGAGACAATAAAGCCTCAGTGCATTCAGTTCTACTTCACCTTCAAGCCATAGTCCTGTCTCTTATTGGGGAGAATTTGCTACAAGGGATTGCTACGCTCTTCATACTCCCTTGCTATAATCACTAAGCTCTTTTTAGAGCTTGCTCCTGCTTCGCTCTTTGGGGAAAGAGAGGTTCACCCACTGGAACCTGGAACCTTGTCGTAGGTCCAGGGTGGGTAGGAGACGGCGAGACCCCAACCAAGCTGCGGCGGTTCTTGGGGTCTGCTGTGCTTATGGTGTCAAGTGGAGTGCTTGGAGCCCTCAGAAAGCACTAGGAGCATCCATCAACAAAGGTACCCAGTCAGGGTACCAGGTGATCCATTACACTTATTATACTCCCTTGCATTATAATCACTAGCTCTTGTAAGAGCTATCCTGCTTTACTCTCTGCATTGGCAGAGGTCTACCCACTGGAGGAGGACAGCGACAACCAGTCGGCCACACACACATCCACACTGCAATAAACACGGTAAAACACATAGCCACACTGCAATACACACAGTAAAACACACAGCCACACTGCTATACACACAGTAAAACACAGCCACACTGCAATACATATAGTGAAACACAGCCACACTGCAATACAGAGAAAATCACACAGTCACAATGCAATACATACAGCAAAACACACAACCACACTAAAGAACAACCAGATTGCAATACACACAGCCACACAGTAAAACACACAGCCACACTGCAATAAACACAGTAAAACACAGCCACAATGCAATACATACAGCAAAACACACAACCACACTAAAACACAGCCACACTGCAATACACACAGCCACATAGTAAAACACACAGCCACACTGCAATACACACAGCCACATAGTAAAATACACAGCCACACTGTAATACACACAGTAAAGCACAGCGATACTGCAATACATAGAGTAAAACACACAGAAGCACTAAAAAACAGCCACACTGCAATACATAGAGTAAAACACAGCCACACTGCAATACACACAGTAAATCACACAGCCACACTTCAATACACACAGCCACAGTGCAATACACACAGTAAAACACACAGCTACACTGCAATACACACAGCCACAGTGCAATACACACAGTAAAACACACAGCTACACTGCAATACATACAGTAAATCACACAGCCACACTGCAATACATACAGTCACACTACAATACACACAGTAAAACACAGCCACACTACAATACACACAGCCACAGTGCAATACACACAGTAAAACACACATGTACACTACAATACACACAGCCACAGTGCAATACACACAGTAAAACACACAGCTACACTGCAATACACACAGTAAATCACACAGCCACACTGCAATACACACAGTCACACTACAATACACACAGTAAAACACAGTCACACTACAATACACACAGCCACAGTGCAATACACACAGTAAAACACACATGTACACTGCAATACACACAGCCACAGTGCAATACACACAGTAAAACACACAGCTACACTCAGTGGCGTACACATGACCCATGGGGCCCCAGTGCAAAAATTGATCCGTGGCCCCCTCCCCGCGCGCTTACTCGGCGCGGGTCGGGCCGCAACACATTGCGGCGGGCACCTGCTCGCAGGGCTGCGACCCCGCGAATGCGGTATACTGCACACACACCTAAAGGACCACTACAGACACCCAGATCACATCAGCTCAATGAAGTGGCCTGAAGTGGTCTAGTTTTAAAGGACCACTATAGTACCAGGAAAACATGCTCGTTTTCCTGGCACTATAGTGCCCTGAGTGTGCCCCCACCCTCAGGGACCCCCTCCCGCCCGGCTCTGGAAGGGGGAAAGGGGTTAAAACTTACCTTTTTCCTCCTCCAATCCTCCTTCTCTCCTCCCCGTCGGCTGAATGCGCAGGCGCGGCAAGAGCTACGCGCGCATTCAGCCAGTCTCATAGGAAAGCATTCATAATGCTTTCCTATGGACGCTGGCGTGCTCTCACTGTGAAAATCACAGTGAGAAGCACGCAAGCGCCTCTAGTGGCTGTCAGTGAGACAGCCACTAGAGGAAATAGGGGAAGGCTTAACCCATTGATAAACATAGCAGTTTCTCTGAAACTGCTATGTTTATGAAAAAACGGGTTAATCCTAGCTGGACCAGGCACCCAGACCACTTCATTAAGCTGAAGTGGTCTGGGTGCCTAGAGTGGTCCTTTAACCCTGCATCTGAAAACATAGCTGTTTCAGAGAACACACTCAGCGACAGACATACATACACACTCACTTACAAAACACACACTTTCATTGACAAACACTCAGTAACAGACACACTCAGTAACAGACACACCCAATAACAGACACACTAACACTCACACACACACACACACACACACACACACTAACACACACACACCAACACACTAACACACACACTAACACATGTTTTTTTGTAAATTGAATCCCCCCAGCCTCCTTACCTTTTGGGGTGCTGGGGGGATTCCCTGGGGTCCAGTGGTGCTGCTGCTGGGCTCCTGGGCGGGCGGCCGGCGCGCGAGGGAGCACTTTCCCCTCAGTGCTTCCTCTTCCGTCCCCCTCGCGCGAGGGAGCGGAAGAGGAAGCACTGAGGGGAAAGTGCTCCCTCGCGCGCCGGCCACCTAAACAGCCCGCCCGCTGGGGTCAGCAGGGCCAGCCTCGGGGGGCCCTGAGGTGGCCAGCTCCTGGGCCCCCCAGGAGAAGAGGCTGGCCCTGTGGCTACACACCGGGACGCAGGGGCGGCCGGGCCCCCTGGTGGGCCGGGCCCGGTCGCAGCCGCGACCCCTGCGACCCTGGTATGTACGCCACTGGCTACACTGCAATACACACAGTAAATCACACAGCCACACTGCAATACACACAGCCACACTACAATACACACAGTAAAACACAGCCACACTACAATACACACAGCCACAGTGCAATACACACAGTAAAACACACATGTACACTGCAATACACACAGCCACAGTGCAATACACACAGTAAAACACACAGCCACACTACAATACACACAGTAAAACACAGCCACACTACAATACACACAGCCACAGTGCAATACACACAGTAAAACAAAGTCACATTTTAGACACCCAGTACAACAAACAGCCAAGCTCATGGCCATGTAAGCGGTTATTCAATAAATTGTGTAGATGTGAAATTGAATTGTAGTCTAAAGAATTTTGTGGTTTTCCTGAAGTGAGCTAGTGCCCTGGGAGAGATATTTGTTTTTTACTAAAGCCCTACAGACGGATATAGTGTGCTGGAACAAGTGTAAAGTGTGGTTCTGACCCTTTGTGTGAATACACGGTTACAACGTATTTGTTCCTTTCAGGGTCTGCGATGCACAGTCATGATACACATGCACGGCTGGTAATTATCACCTTGACATTTGTATTATACAGTACACCAAAAATTATTATTTTAATGAATGCTCTTTGGGGCCTCGATACAGCTGTGTTTATTTATGTTTTCTTCTCCATAGTATTTCTAGGATGCTGCAAGAACCAAATAACCCCCGAGGTGCATTCCGTCTGCCTGCTGAATGGAAAGGCTGTCCAATCCCACACACACTTTTAATCATGAACATTGCCACACAACTGCTTCAAACCTAACCTTGAAGATGCTATAAATATATTAGTTTTCCTCTCATCGTATCACGCCAGGCAATCTGTAAACATTACGAAGGGTAAAGGCTATTTTGGGTAAGGAATTCATTCTTGTGGCTCTTCTTAACACTGTATAAAATGAATAGGTGAAAAGCTTAAAGATTGCTGGGCATGCAACCAAAATCTGTTTTATAGGATAAATAGATAGTTTAATAAAAACGCTGTTAGACTGATGGAAAAAAAAACCTAAATATGATTTTACCTAGATAATTAAAGGAATAAGAAGGCAAACAGTGATAATAGACATAGAGTAGACAGACAGACAGACAGATAGATAGTGTAACGGCACCCACAGGCATAAAAGGGTTAAAGCGCCATTTAGAAGATCTTCCCCTTCCAGAGACACAGGCACAGCTACTGTAGACACCAATCCACCGAACAGGAGAAGCATATGAATGCTCTCAAACATTCGAATACTGTAAACAGCCGAATAGGAAAAACCATACGAATAGGTTTACACTCCTAGCAGTCGAACTAGAACAGCATACAATAAATACCCCCAAGAACGAGACAAGGCTCCGTTTTGAGGGTCAAGCAGGAACAGACATTGCTGTGGGTTTATTGGTCTTATATACATATTCTTACACATTAGTACCACCCACAGGGTTTTGGAAAACAACCAATAAACATGTACAATACACTTAGACACTCCCACACAAAATCCTCCCCTCTGCCTGTGATACAATTACCTTACACAATGGGTAATGTAATTATCACAGGCAGAGAAATACAGTTTTTCCACATTATTCATAATTTTAAAAGTATGCATCACATTCACATAAAACTTACATTTTCAGAATCAGCATATTCCAAATACAAACATAAGTCAAAATCATACAAATTGGTCCAGTGGTTCAAAAGATAGATCCTAGTCCTTTGTGACCAAATGAAGCATGGCCCAAAACCAGTTCCACAGAGTCTTCTATCCTGGAGATAATTGGGAAGTAATCCAATTATCTCCAAGGACAGAGGCAAAACTCCATTGAACACATGGCAGCAAAAGTCAATAAAATACATAAAAATATATAACTGTGCAGCCATTGCATAAAAACAGGTACATTCAACATATTCCCGGATAGCTCAGATCTGAGGGCACATTATTACTGAATGGCGCTCAGATCACACACATACAGTTCAATTGCCATGGAGCCAAAGTCTTTCCCATAGTCTTTTATTATACGAATGGGCTCCATGGCATAGCTATCTGGGGTATCACCGCTCAAACAGGGCAAGCACCGAATGATCCGGCTTTCGTGTCTTTCCCGGGGGAAAAAAAGCCTTTCAACATGGGGCCATAGTCTAAAGGGAGCAGGCGGGCAACCAGGCTCCTCCAATGCAATGTGGCGAGATTGCTCTCATCACAGATAGATAGATAGATAGATAGATAGATAAATCTATAGACTGGAAGCTCATTTGAGCAGGGCCCTCTTCAACCTATCGTTCCTGTAAGTTTCCTTGTAATTGTCCTATTTATAGTTAAATCCCCCCTCTAATAATATTGTAAAGTGCTACGGAATCTGTTGGCGGTATATAAATGGCGAGAATAATAAAATAATAAATAGATAGATAGATGATAGAAGGATAGATAGACAGTGTGAAGAACTGGACCTCATCACGGGTTCTTGGAGGGGCATACTTGCCAGCCTCTTGCCCAAACTTTTGGGTTTGGGTTTTGGCCCTACAGGATGGGCCTGTATCAGAGGACGCCCTGTTGGACTACAGAGAGGCTGCTAGAAGAGAGCTTTGGACCGAAGCCCTGGAGGGTGTACAGCATTTGGCGGGGTAAGAGTCTCCCCAGTGAGAAGCAGCGACTACAGGCACAAGGCGGAATGCAGATGCCTTTCCTGGGAGAGCAGCGCCGGGGTGAGTGGGTGACGAAGCTCGACCTGCTGATATGGAGAGAACTGTGGCTCGACGACCAGTACCAGGTGCTATGGTGGTACGCGCTTCAGCGTGTTCCTGGGATGGCTAAGCACAACAGGCCTGAGGGCAAGGATTACAATGGCCTTGGCCTGTTATGGAAGGTTTTTGCTGAACCGGAATTCGGTAGTGCTACAGAATTACATTTTTGGGTCAGGGAGGCTATACTGAATCTCCCTAAAGCTGGCGACCTAGGGCCAGACCTGTTCTATTTGGCCACCCTGGAATGGGATCTGGAGCAAGAGTACCAGCACCTATATCTACAACCCTACAGCTGGAGAGACATCGTAGACTGGTCCTGGGAAGATGTGGTCTCTCCACCGGCCCAGATCCCCAGCTACAGCCAGAGTTACTGGGAGTAGGGACAGTCAGTCCTACTCCCCAGCGACCAAGTATGTTATTGGAAGAAGAGACGGTTGGTCTCCTACAGGGAGGCCGCATGTTAAGGTGCCCATCGGGTGGCCCTGAGAGGGTATGGATTTTCAGGCGGCCCGGTCAGCGCTGCAGCGCTTTAACAGCGCGACCGGGCCCTCTGTGATGAGATCACAAGTTGGGACGAAGTGACTTCCTCGTCACTCCTCCCAGCTATCACTGAGAGCCCGCACGGGAGGAAGCAGAGGGAGTCAGAGTGGGAACTCTGCCTCCCATCAACCTGAGCCACCACTGGATCCCAGGAAAAGTCACCCTCCTGCACCTAAAAGGTAGGAAACAGTAGGGTGACTTAAATATTATGTGTGTGTGTGCGTGTTTGTTTGTATATATGTGTCTGTGTCTATCTGTCTGTATGCATGCCTGTCTGTTTGTATGTATGTGTCTTTGTATGTATGTCTTGTGTGTGCGTGTTGCTGTCTGTCTGTCTGTATGTATGTGTCTGTGTTTATCTGTCTGTATGTATGTGTGTGTGCCTGTCTGTTTGTATGTATGTGTCTTTGTATGTATGTCTTGTGTGTGTGTGTGTTTCTGTCTGTATGTATCTATGTTTCTGTGTCTAACATAGCCTGCACATCCCCAGACAGCTTCGATCTGAGTGCACAACATATCCGAAAAGCGCTCAGATCCCACAAACGTAGTCTAATCACTAGTGGGATGAAGAGATGTCTGCCCAGAAATAGTTCCATAGTTTCAGGAATAACGGTCGGTCTAGTTCGAGAGTTTTCATACGAAATAAAAAGGTGCACGAATCAAAAAGGGAATCGGTCCTCTGGCTCATAGTGTGTGGGGTTTGTTTGAGAGTTCTCGTCGAACAATCTGTTGAACAGCGCTCTCCTGGCTTGTATGCATGTATATGTATATATATATATACAGTAAAACCAAAAAGTAATAGAAATAACTTAATATGTATACATATACATCCATAATTATTTCAAATGATTCCTGTATAACGAAGTATAATACACATAAAACAGTTTCCTTATATTGCTGCCTTGTAATACAGGATCCTTATGTGGCGAAAGTAACTGCGCCACTTGTTTTTGGAGGGGTCTGTTTGCCAGCCTCCTACCCTGTGACTGTGGTCCCTGTGTTAAACCCTGGTTGAAAACACTATTTGTGCCTGTTGGGACTTGTAACATGAACACTTTGAACTCCCGAAGTGGCACTTCGAACTTCCGAACGGTCAAAGTGGTTCGAAGCAGCATTCGACCACGTGGCAGCGGCTATCTTAAGCCGCGAGTACAATGAGCGGTGTTTGTTCATCGAGTTCATGGAACTCAAATCAGACAAGCGGTGGTGCGAACACCACTAAACTCTTACCTTCCATGGATGTTTGGCTTTTCGAATGGGAGTTGAACGGTGTTCGGTAAGAATAAACTCCCGAACAAAAGACATACACTGACTTTTTTCACAAACAGCTATGTTTGGTATTTTGAACGTTATTTAGAATACTCAAAGTAGACCGTCCGCACAGCCTGATTCTCTGGAACTGTTTTGGGCCTGGGACCATGCGTGCGGTTGGTCAAATGTGACTTCCATAGAATTCCTGAAACCCTGAACTGATCTGGGTGAATTTTTTGATATGTTGGTCACCAAGATCAG